ATGTGTACATTGCTTGTTTGTGTTTTTCCTGATATTTTAGTGCACTTTGTTTATTTTTTGTGTTACCACTGCACATGTTGGACACCATACCATATGCACACAGTTTACACGTTCATACTTTTATTTATTTATTTATTTTATTTGTTTTTTTTTCCTGTTTTTATTTCATTTTTTTTACATTTCATTTTTTGTTACATTTTATTTTGTTTTACATTTCATTTTTGTTACATTTCATTTTTGTTACGTTTTATTTTGTTTTACCACTTTTTTTTTTTTTTGTACAACTTTGTTTTTTTTTTAAACAACTTTTTTTTTTTTCCATTTACAACTTCACACGTGACCATATCGACACGTTGACACGTTACCATATCGACACGTGTGACGCTTTCACATGTTGTATATGTTCACATTTGCACATTGTTAGGATGTTTCACTTTTTGTGTAGAATTATGTACAACTATGTATATGTACATACATTTATGTAACATGATAAGTGGTGCATTGTTAACAAAATGTTAAACTTTACAACGAATTTAAAAAAAAAACAAAAACATAAACAGAACAATATGTTGAATCATCCTTGCGTGATAATTGTTCTTCGTGTGGCCTTTTTTTTGTTTAATCACGTGTTTCATTCATTGTTGTTTTCGTGTTCGTTTTTCTTTTATGCTTACGTTTTTTTATTCTTTTTATACGCACCCCTTTTGTCGTTTACACACCCATTTTGTCATTAGCACACCCCCTGTTTCTCTTACACAAAAACACACACAGACACAGACGATTTGTGTCCAAAATTCCCCGCACCAAAACTTTTGCAACAAAGTTCCATTGTCCATCCAACTTGCATCGTGCACAGCACGGGTTGTTTACCGCACACGTGGACTACACCAAAATGAAGTACTTTATGCACATCGTTTGTATGTTCGCGATCCGCGTAACCCTTTTCCAACCTCATGGCACGACTAACGCCGAACAGGTGATTATGCCAAATGGTTATTTAAGACATGGAAACACACAAGACAACTACATGCAAGCGGGAACACCGGCAGCGCCATCACCGGCAGCGGCAACGGCAGCACAACAACAACACAACAGTGGCGTTATTGCAGGTACATCGAGTGCAGGTCATACAACGGATTCGCACGACGCTCCGAAGCAAACGAACGACGACGCGGCGAACATAAAGAACGGCGAACCGGACTTCTGGGGACAGTGGCAGAAGGAATCTCTTCAAGAGTGGAGTTCTTGGAAGGATGACACTGGATCCGAAGCTAGCCACAAGGCTAAAGGTAAGTACATGTATTTTGATGAACACATGATACAGCAAATACCACAAAACACAAAAAGAAGTGCTTGAAATACGTAGTATGAAACAACCACGTGCAGTACGCACACACAAACACATATACCACTATGCAAACACCTGAATGAGTGGAGAGAGAGCGACGGGGCGACCGGGGAGAGTCATCGCGGCAGATAGAAAGACGTAGAGACGTAGAGACGTAGAGACGTCGACAGACGTAGAAGCAGACGCAGACGCAGATACACACACACACTGTGTGTGTGTTGTGTGTGTTGTGTGTGTTGTGTGTGTTGTGTGTGTTGTGTGTTGTGTGTTGTGTGTGGGTGGGAGAGCGAGAGTCTTTTCCCGGGGTGGCACCCGACCCCCGTCCGTCTGCTGCCTCGTCACGCGACCAGAGGTCAGCCGTGAAACGACCGCACGCACCAACCGTGTGGCCTACCATGAGCAACCACTGCACAACACCGGAGTCATGTCCATATTCTTCCTTTTCGTTCCAACTCACAGGTACTGGAACTACACAGATCACGACAGGTAACGGTCCGGAGGATTCACCGCCGGCACCCGCCCCCGCACCGGGACCAGTACCACCAGGTGCAGGAGAACCATCAGCTGCAGCATCACCTACAACACCAGAAGCGGTCGAAGAGACAGCCACGGACCCACCAGCACCATCTGCACCGGCACCAGGGCCGAAACCACCAACAGTATCAACACCGTCAGAACCATCATCAGGGCCGGATGCATCAGGGAGGGACACACCACCAACGGCACTGGCACCACCTCAGGCGCCTAACTCCGACAACACCGAAGTAACATCGCAGGATGTCAGTAACAATGGGCACAAGGGTGAAACCGGCCCGTCTGGTGCAGTGGGTCCAGTCGGTGGAAAAGGTGAAACAGGCCCCGCACCGCCAGATGGTAAACCCATTGATTCCGGCGCCCTAGGGGCCACCGTTGTTAGTGGCGGCAAGGTTAGTACCGGGGACGACCCCCCTCCTCTCAATCCACCCAAACCAAAACCCAACCCGCACCCAAATCAATCGGGTAGTAGTGGCAGTTTCAATGATGCTGATTTGGCAGATGGAGTTTCTGGTGGGGAAGGACAAGAAGGTGGGGATGGTACTACCCAAGGCAGTGGAGGAGGTCAATCCTCTGGTAATGGTTCCACTGGTCACCAAACCCCTGCTTCCTCCGGTATCGGCTCTACTCACCCGGGGGCACCTGCCACTCGTGTAACCATAAAGGATGAGTGGGACACAGAATTGGATAAAATCCCTTTATGGGGAATAGGATCTGTAACAACACCCTCCGCTACCACAAACGACGCGTCGAAATCATCGGACACAGCACCCTCCGAATCAACCTCGCAGCACGGCGCATTAGAACTACTCGACATGTCCAAGGAGCCATCTGACAATTTTATCGATAAAGACGAAGAAGTGTTGCCCGAAATCGAATATCTAGAAAACGAAGAGCCAGATTTTATGGAAGAAACCGATCCGTCGTCATCACACGACGCAGACGACGAGGCAAACGCAGATGGAAGCGAGTTGGACGACGCAACATTGGACAAAGTGTTGCAGGAGGAGCAGTTGGACGACGTCAACGACGAGGACGATGAGGAGCACGACGGAGGAGATGACGAGGCGGAACTGCATACACCTGCGCACGGCGGCCAATCCGACACGAACGAATCCACCCCATCCGGGCCGTCGCCATTGGACCCGTCGAAAGCGGCCACGCAACAACAAACACAACACAACGCGGATAGTAGTGTAAGCAACAGCACACCATCCACACCACCATCAGCATCACAAAAGCCACAACAACCGTTCACGGATAAAAACGCGCATGCGCTGCTCGCAGGAAATACTAACAACACGATAGACTTAAAGAAAACCACACACCAATTGACCCAACAGATCCTCAGTACCATACAAGGAGACACACAGTTCCTAGACACACTGAAAGATTTGACCAAAGATTTAAGTAACATTTTTTTCTAGTGGTAACATACATTCGCTGCATTGCTTGACTCGCGGAGACGCGACGTGTCGTCAGCGACGTCGTACACACTGCTGTACCCACGTCGTACACTCCATCCAAGTCTGCGACGTCGCGCCACTCACATGCGTCGTGCGCTTGTGGTCATTCTTTTGTTTCTCCTTGTTGTGCGTTTCTTGTCGTGCTGTTTTTTGGAGCGACCTACGGAGGCGGCGCCGCACACACTGCTGTACACACTTTATTCACGTCCGTGACGCCGTACACACTGCTGTA